ATACGAGAAAATAGAGGGCTATGAACAGTCTAAGTTCGTCAGGCTTCAAGTATTTCTAGTTTTAAAAAGTTAGTAAGGGACTACTTAACTTCAAGAAATGTTTGATTTAGCTGTTGTACTTGCTTTTATTTTATCAGGTGGTCTGCCTTGTATGGGGATTAACATCTCTTTTGCTGACCATCATTATGGCATTTTGTTTTATTGTATAATATTTTATCTAGTTCTTGTCTTATCGCTGGCAATTAAATTGTAATAAATAAAAAAAAAATAATAAAAAGAACTAGTGAAGTTTATGGCAAACTGAACTTGTGCTTTTTGTGGATAATAATAATAATAATAATAATAATAATAATAATAATAGTGATAGTGATAGTGATAGTAATAATAATAATAATAATAATAATAATAATAAGCCTCAGAATGCGCTCTATTGGCAATGTAAAAGTAAAAATAAACACTCCCTGTCACAATAAACAGTTTCATCACTGGTAACTGTCTTATCGCTATGGAGTATTTTTACATGACAAAAACAACTAATTTTCAGGAAGAATGCCACTAAAATGCTCAAATAATGCTTAATGCTTTTGCGTCACTAAAATGCTCGAAAAAAATGTTAGCATAATGTACAAAAGCGTAGCAAGACTATGCCGCATTGTCATAATGAATCATAAAGGATTGCTCGTGGCATTTTTTTTTTTCTCAATGATTGTCCTTGGACACGTCTTACATACAGTGAGCAGCGTTAATGTATGGGATCTCGAGCAAATGGGTGGCAGAAAGAGAAGTTACCAGGTATGACGTTAAATAAAAATACAACAAGCAAATGATAAATTGAAAAATGGCAACCTTCGATAACATGTTGCTTTCTGGCACATACCGGTGTTCGAGTGGAATAAAACAGCCACAATGAATTCAGATGTTCTTGAGAAATTTACGTTTATGTGAATTGAACATATTAAGAGTCCCTGTCCATAAAAAAGGAAAATAACTCGGCAAGGGTCGAAAATTCGATTTCGCTCATATTT